CGCTGTGGTGCTCCCCGCCCGCGCTGCGTGTCAGCGGGCTGCCCGGGAAGGGAAAGTGAAGGGATGGTAGGCATAGTGCAGAGGGGTGGTTTGTTAGCTGTGTTACCTATTGCCTCTTAATCCAGTTAAAATAGGTTGTTGGTGTGTTTCAGAAAAACAGACTACGACTGTGTGTTCTGTTCTCTGAACATGTGTGATGTTCAGGTAATTTTCTTATGTGCAGCTTCCACTGCTCCTTCTATTAGTATTATGAGGTAGCTAGCAAAAAACAGGCCTACTTTTAATTCTGTGAAAATTCTTGATATTGCTTGTTTTTATTAACCTTGACTGTTGGGCTAAATGTTACTTGCTTAGGATTGTCTTAAAGCCATGAAAAGGCTTACACCTTGACTGTTGGGCTAAATGTTACTTGCTAGGATTGTCTTAAAGCCATGAAAAGATTTACGTGAGTTTTTACACTGGCAGTTGAAAATTTCTCGTTATTGGAGATGACGATTGTAAGAAACAAAGGGTGCTGAACACAGCTTCTTTATGTAGGTGTTTAGATGAGCCAACCAGGGATGATGCTTTCCTGAATCTGCTTCTCATAAACAGGGGAGTCAAGGATCCAGTAATCATTAGCAGCCTTGGCTGTAACAGCCATGGAATAGTGGTGTTCAAGACCCTGGGTGTAGTGAGGAAGGCAAGTAGCAGAGTAGAGAACCTGGACTTCAGGACAGCCAGCTTCAGAACTCGAGCTTATTCAGGCAACAGGTAGCGGAGATTTTGTGGGAGGGAGCTTTGAAAATTGGAGGAGCTTGAGAGGTAGAGGTCTGTAAGGACATCGTACAAGCACAGGGACATTCCATCATGATACTCAGGAAAACAAGCCAATGTGTTGAGGGATGCCTGCACTCCAGGGGTGGGGCACAAAAAGAGTATATGCAGGAGGTGGAAGCAAGGACAAGGTTACAAGGGAGAAGGACAAAAACCATTGGATATGTGGGTGTGACGCTAGGAAAGCCAGAGTTTAATTAGTGTTGAAGCTAGCAAGGGATGTCAAGGGTGACAAGAACTTTTACTGCTACATTAGCAGTAAAGGCGGGGGGAATGTGAACCTGCTGCTAAATGGGGCAGGTGATTTAGGAAGAACAGGCACAGATAAGGCACAAGTACTCGGCCTTCTTGCATTGGGTCTTTAGAACTGATGTCCACTAGTCTTTGTGTCTAAGAGACAGGATTCAAGGAGAGGAACAACCAGCAATGGAAAAGTGTCAAGTTAGGAATCTCTTGAGAAATCTCAACCTGTACAAGTCCACGGGACCCACCTGGGTACCTCCTGGCTGATATAATTGTGAGGTTGCCCTCTTACCATCTTTGAGAGGTTGTGGAGGTCAGGTACAGCTTAATCAGCCTCATTTCAGTCCCTTGGAAAATAATGAAGCATGCTCTCTTGGAAGTTTTTTCTGGGCACGTGAAGGAGAAGGCAGTTGGGAATAGCCAAACATGACTGTTCTTGCAAACTGATTATCTTTGGTGATGGAATTACTGGATCTGTAGATCCAAAGCCTTGGATGTCATCTACATTAGCTCTATCAGGACTTTTGAAACAGTATCCTGCAGTATCTTTCTCTTCAAGTTGGGGTGTTACAATAGTAAACTATTGGATGAGTGTGGGGAAAAAAAAAAAATAAAACACCTGGTTGGATGGTCAGGCTTAAAGAGGAGTGGTTAGTGGTTCATACTTGACCTGAAAGTGGATGGCAGGTGAAGTCCCCCAGGGGTCTATGCTGGGACCTGTCCTGTTGATAGGAGGATGACGTGGAGTGCACCCTTATGATGTTTATGGGATGGGAAGGTGCCATAGACAGCTAGGCATGGGCTGGAGGAATGGGTCATCAGATACTTCATATATTTCAACCAAGCAAGCTGAAAATTGAAGTGCGAAGTCCTGCATCTGGGCCTGTGCCCCAGTGGTACAGGCTGGGGGACCACCCCACTGAAAGGATGTGGGGGTCCTGATGGACAGTGGGCTAAATATGCCAACACAGTGCTCTGGCATTGAGGTGTATGAGGCTGTATTAGCAGGAGCATAGCCAGCAAACCGAGGGGAGTTGTTATTCTTCTTCACTTGGCATGTATTAACAGCTCCTGAAATGCTGTGTCCCATTTTAGGCCCACCAGCACAGGGTGGCTGTTGATAAACTGTTGAGGGAGCTTGTTAAGCCATAACGGCCCTTCGGTACTTGCAAGGAAGTTAGCAAGAAGCTGATACCAGACACTTGACAGAGGTTCCTGATGGGAGGCTGAAAGGAAACAGCCATGAATGGAAACAAAAGAAGCAAGAGAGGTTGCAAGTTGATATAAGGTGAAACTTTTTCACTATGAGGACCTACAAGCAGTGGAATGAGATGCCCAAAGAGGTGTAGCCTCCATCCCTTGAAATTTTCAAGACCCGATTGGATAAAGCCTTGAGTAGCTCTGATCTAATGGCTGTTCCCATTTGGAGTTGGAGGTTGGACCAGAGACTTTCTTAGGTCTCTTCCAACTGGAATGAGGCTGAATTTGAAAATACTTATTTTGTTAAATTGGGGTGAGGGGTGGAATGAAGTACCTACTTAGTCTCATCATATCAGTTTCTTGACCAGAGCAGACTCTGCTGGCAGTCTCAAAGTCTTCTACAAAACAATTGTAATGCTGTATAATAGCACTGTATCTTCTGTATGTGAGCTGTTACATGGAACAACTGAACCTTGTATTTGCAGAGTTTATACAGGTCTCTGTTTGTACTGTGGTCATTGCCTGAGTGTTACAGAGTTCGATGGTGTTTCCTGTTTTCTAAGGCATAAGGAGATGTGCAGAGATTAAGGGTTGAAAATTGACAGGAATTAATGAGCATGTATCCCTTCTGTCCAGTGACTTTCCTTCACGGTAATATCTGTTGAGTTGTTGGCACTCTGATGGCTGTAGCATCTAGAGTTGGTTTGGGGATTTCTTCTGGAGAAGCTTCCTGTGCAGATAGTATTTTATGTCCATTATTTTTTTTTTTCCTCAGCCACCAATGATCAACCTGAATGTGGATGATGATGTAGAGTTTGTCAGAAGTAAGTTGCTGTGTTCTATGCGTGAAGATTGTTCTTGAAATATTTCATGCTCTTTTACAATGCTGAGTACATGCTGTGAAAAAATGAGAAGTTGTTATGTATCTAATATAGGCAGAACAGGAGCAATGCTGCACACTAAATGAACTAACAGATGTGAAGCAACACATGCTTCGTAGTTTTTCTTCTTTAAATCTTCTGCAAGTATACCTTCCCACTGCTCTAAAGAAAGTAACTTATGGGAAAAGTGAGTTAGAGAAAACAGGAACATCATGCTGGCAAACATTGGTTTCCAACTGGTATTAACAAATTTAAATACAAGCTTGAGTGCATTTGCATTATTTTACGTTTGGTTTTTTTCTCACCAATTGAGTAGTCTCACACATCTCACAGTAACACAGTCCAAAACTTGAGTTGTTGAACCTGTCGCTTCATCTTAGAGTGCACAATCTTGCAGGCATGGAATGGGTGTGATATACTATGAGTAAAAGTGCATGTCTCATTCATACTGGGAAAAATAGTGAAGTTTGAAGTAGAGTGTTTCCTAGGGGAGATTGCTTACGCATGCAGCCAGCCACATGCACCAACACACAGGCACACATGTTCTCCTGAAGCATTAGGTTGGAGTATTACTCAGTGACACAGTTTGATCAGATATGAAATAGCTGGTTTGCTTCGCAGGAGAAAAAATAAGTAACAGCAGGATTTGACAGTCTTTCATTGACTCTAGCATCAGATGAGTGCATGTGTACAGTGTCCTTTTTGTGCTGTTCATCGGTAAACTCCTCTGCTGTTCCTGTGAACATGCTGGTAATGGATGCACATAGTACAGGGATCTCTCTTAAACCTGTGGTGTCCTGGTATCTCTAGATCTCTGTTGCATTAGTGAATTAAACAATGGCATCACCAGTTCTTTTGCCTTGAGGCCAAATAGTACAGCCAGAGTTTGTCCATATATGAAGTTCTTGGACTCCAGAACAGATTGGTCACATCCAGGCTGAAACAGTCCCTGAAACCAAGCTAATTGCTGAACCATGCAATTGGGAGATGTACTGGTTAACCTCAGCCAAAAGGGTGTGGGAAAAAAAAACAAAACAAAAAAAACAACATGTTAACAGTGTCATGGAGGAGGTAGTAGAGTTGTAGTTCTCTGGCAGTGCCCTGACACTATCTATAGTTAACGGAAGGTTTCATTGGTATTCATTCAGTAGTCTGAGCTCATGTCCTACTGAACATACAGTTACATAACTATTAATATCCATACTAGCAGGCTGAAGTCATGAACGTTGAAAGCATGAAGATGCATGCTTGCTATTCAGATACAAACATTGCAAACAAATTAAGGTATATGTAGTTAATACACTTCATATGATGCCATTGCAATGTCAGTGTTACTAATGACTGTTTTCAGACTTCTATCTTCATTGCTACTCCATCACTTATATTTTAAGGAACACTTCACATGTGTGTAGTAGTTTACTCTAAATATTCTGTCAAAACTTTGCAGGAACTCTGAAAGTCCAAAAGCGTCGATTTGATGCATCATTGGTTTATTTGACCCGAAAATTCATGGATCTTGTCAAAACAGCTCCAGATGGCGTCCTTGATTTAAATGAAGTGGCAACAACACTTGGAGTACGAAAAAGACGAGTGTATGACATCACCAATGTGTTGGATGGAATCCACTTAATTCAGAAAAGATCTAAGAACGTTATCCAGTGGATGTGAGTTGGTTTTGAAACTTCTAATTTCTGAAACAATAAAATTCAACAATGTTGAGTAATGTTTATAACTTTAAGAGTATTTTTAAGCATATTAAATTACTTTTAATAGATAAAAATATTTCAAGTTCTTCTGTATCCTTAGGCTGTCTGAATTACTATATTAACAAGTATCAAGTGCAAAAGCACAGTGGCACATATTTCAGCAGAGTAAAGGGTGCCAGAGTTCCTTGTTTTTTTCTGTTAGTATACTTTGTCTTCAATAAACAGGATCTTATTTATATGAACATACTAGACAACTTTCGTATTCTTCTAGAGGTTCTAATCTTGACCAAGTTGTTGGAAAAGCACCAGAGCAGCAAAACCTTAAAGATGAACTTTCTGACTTGTCAGCCATGGAAGAAGCTCTGGATGAATTAATCAAGGATTGTGCTCATCAGTTATTTGAACTAACAGATGACAAAGAAAATGCAAAATATCCTTTCAACTCTTGCATTACTTTAACATGTGGGTTTGGTTGCAAGTA